AGGGCGCGTCAGAGGTGGCGGGGCAGGCTGCCCCCCCCGGCTGCACTTGGCCCGTTTTTGACACTCTGCAGGTTCAGGGCTTGGAGGTTCAGCTCCTGACTGGACGCCAGCTGGGTGCTGGCCCCGGATGAGCTTGCGGGCATCTTGCTGCCGTTGTGCAGCATTTGGCCTCCTGCAGCAAACCCCGACTTCTGGTCCCCTCCAGCACCGCTGCCAGGGGCCTTGGCAGCCTTGGGGCCTGGCATGCTCAGCCCAAGCTCCCCAGATCCTTTCTGATTTCTCATTTTCAAGTCCAGCCCTAAGCCACTCTTGCTGGATGCCTGGGACTTCAGCGCCAGCCTGCCCAGGGGAGAGGTCTCTGCAGAGTTCTGGCTTTGGGACATCCTGTTCATGTAGTGCACAATGGAGCTCTGCCAGCTGATGGCCCGGCTGGGGCTTGTCGAGCCGCTCTTCATCATGTTGGGCAGGTTTTCTGCAGAGGAACCCCCCGAGCTGAGCCCAGCCAAGGCACCTGGTGGGTCCTTCAGCACAGCCATGCCCGAGCCCTGCGTGCTGTGCTGAGGCTGCATCTTCCCGAGCAGTTTGCTGCTGCCACCCACCTCCTTCCGGGACGTTTTCAGCACCTTTGTCAGGTTCACAGTCCTTCGAGCTGCTTTCTGATCTGGGGGAAGAGGTTTCCGCCCACGCTTCTTCCTGGAAGCATCTTTCATTTCAGGCTTCGCCACCAGGATCTGAGCTTTCTTCTGGGGTACTGGGTGAGTCTCTCTGCTGCGGGGACCTCTCTTTGCTTCCAGGTCACTTTCATCCTCTTCATCAGAGGAAGAAGAAGAGGAGGATGTGGAAGAAGAGGAGCTACTGGACTTAGCTTTTGCAGGCATCTCTGGTTCCTGTGAAGCAATGGAGAGAGGCAGGGAAAGGGTTAACACCCATTGTCAAAGGATGATTCTGGGCATTGCAAATCCTTCAGTGTTGCCTGGCCAGGTGCCTTAGATGCACACAGGCTTTTCCTGCACATTAGCTGATCTGCTCATCCTCTGCCACCAAGTGAGTTACGGAGCATAGAGCACAAAACCAACTAGGCTCAAATACCAGACAGGACCCTGGTGCCAGGGAACTAACTCTTCTGTCTCCTACCCATTGCCAGAGCAGCAATGAAGTGATGATGTCCTCATTGACCCACCCATCCTGGCAATCTTCAAAGCCCTAATGTGGGGTCTGCAGGCATTGCTGTGTCCTTGCCACCTTCTGGAGGCTGAGCACCCACCACACCCTGCCTGCAGACAGACACCAGCCAGAGGCCCTCCAGCACCCTCGCAGCCATGGGTTTCCACCACCACCAGCACTCACCACGTGTTTCCTGGGCCTGCCCCTGGGCCGCTTCCCCCTTTTCCGATTCTGCACTTCTTTTTCATGTTCTCTGAAAAAAACGGTGATTAAGAACACTGTTTGCAGGGAAGAAGAAAAACATCCAAGATCATGCTGGTTCCTCCTTCTGTCACTAAAAACCTCCTTGCTCAGGATGCTTTAGGCTCTGAGCAGCTGCTGGGACATGTCCTTGGCCCATACCAATATTTGACAAACTTAGAGGCCTCTGAGCACATCACTTGAACCCAAGCTGAAGAGCAGCCAAAGATCCCCAGGAACTACAAACACCTGGAGCCTTGTGCAGTTCCACCTCCCCTATGTGGTACCTGGATTTTTTTACCCTGTGGGACCAGCACAGGTCACTGGAAGACTCAAGCCATGGGTGCAATGTAACACGAGAAAAAGAACTACAAAGTGAGGAAAAATTGTGGCCTGAGGTCAAGGACAGCTATCTGGAGGTTGGGGTGGCCAGCTGGCTTGGCAGCAGGTGTCTGCCCTGATTTACTGGAGGAGACGGGATAGGGAAGAGAAACTCTCTTGCACACAGCATGTGATTGAACTGCATGGATGGCCGAAATACATTTACCAAACTGCTCACAGAGCCAAAATCCTTTGCCTTGCGGACCTTCCTGCTGGTTACCCCAGTTCTGGTCCCTTTGTCCCACTGGTGCCAGGCAGGCCTTCCAAGGGAGGCACAGAGTTTGGTAATGCTGCCCCTGGGAGCAGCTCGTGCCTGGGGAAAACTGAGGTGGGCCAGGCAGCGACTGGTGAGCGCTCCTGTTTGCATCCTTTTTGCATCCCTGCTTGCTATGATAACATCCCCACAGCAAGCAGCTTCCAGCAGTCAGCAATGGACCACATGGCATCACCCACCCCCAGTCTGTGGCTCTGCAGTTTTTCTGGTAAGATTGGATGGGGCAAATGGCAGCTCTGCCCCATCTCTGCTCAGCCTGGCCTGACACACTTGTGGAGCTGAGCTCAGCTCCATGAGACCAGCACAGCCTCTGTACGGAGGAAAAGCAAGTACTTTCCCTGGAAACTCTGCAAGTTCTCTCCTTTTCTGGGCTCATTCAGCCTCTCCTGCACCTCCTGATGTGGATATGGTGGCCACACAGCCCAAGGTGAGCACACGGGGAGGGTTTTCAGGGCGCTGTACTATTTTGTATTTCTTTGTTTAAAAAAGGACAGTGTTAAGTTGTAACAGTTAATTAAACACCGTGCTGTCTGCACTAACCTCCAGATTCCATTCTTGAAAAAATGGATCCAGAAACAAGTTATAATTAAATCCTATCATAAAGTTTAATGATTTTTATTAATACGGAGCCAAAATATTTGGCAGTGCTGTGCTTACCATAGCCAGCTGGCTACTTTTTCACCTCTGTGTGTGATTTCTGGTGCACAATAGCTGTGGAACAATCGCTGTGCCCCGCTCGGCTCCGGGCTGTTGCCCTGGCTCTGACAGAGGACACCATTTTCTCCCAGCCATTACCTCCTTGCCTGCTCACAGCCATGCCCTCCAGAAGAACATTTTGGGGCCCTCCAAGCCCACCATTTCTGCAGACCCAGGCACCATCCCCCCACCGGGACCTGCAGTCCCACCCCAAGCAGAGCGAGACCCTGACCAGGGGACAGGCAACAGGAGCCAGAGGTGTCTGCGGGCTCTGCTGTGCTCCCGGTGCAGCCAGAGCAGACCCAGGCTGTGGCACCGGCCCATGACCCTCCGTGTTTACCCAGCCCAGGGAGAGACATGTCCTAGGCACGTCTGGTCTGTGATTTTAGGAGATGAACAAAAGGGCTGGGCCACAAAAGGTGCGGCCACCTTCAGCCTGTTGTTTCCACAACTTCCACTGCACGCGCAGCCAATTAGAAGTTAATCAACTTTATAATTTGCTTAGAAATATTTATCTTTTGCTCACTTCTTTTGGAAAGCAAGGAGGAGTCTTGGATCAAGGATGTTCTCCTCGGGCTCCCAGCTGTTGTGCCTGCAACAGAAGACACAGACTGGGCAAGAGCGGGGGGGCGGTTTTCCCCGCCGCCCCTGGAACCGGGGAGTTCATCCCAGGACAAACGGGCCCTTTGTGGGCAACCGGCGCCGTGCCCCGCGGGAACCGGGGCATCCCCGCGGAGCGGACAGGGGAGAATGGGCGGGG